CTCCCAGGAGGGCTGCACGTGGTGAGCTGCATCCCAATCTTTCCTGGGCGGGAAAGGGTGACTCACTGTCAGGATGGCTGATGCAACCAAGGGCTATCGCCCTTCTGCCTTCCTGTGACAGCTGGATGTTGGGGGAGCTGGAAAACAACTGCAGCTTTGATCCCAAATGACACTGGGCCGGCCGGAGACGGCCCGCGTAGAGCGGGTGTCTGCTGGCGGACTGGGTCGAGTGTAGCTGTCACGAGGCCGCTACCCCCCTTCTCCCTCCCCGCGGGATGATCCCATCAGGAAACTATGGGCTCGCTGCGCTGCCGGCACCACGAGCACACGCTCGGCGCTCCCAGTTGCGCGAGCTATTCTGCGGCAGCCCCTCCCCCGCTCCGCTCCCGCCTCTCCCGCGCCGCAGCCTCCCTCCGCCAGGCTTGCGGAGAGCCGGGCAGGCTGGAGGAGCTGCTTCTGCCCATCCCCCTTCCGGCAAGCACACGGGCTGCTGCTGTCTGCGGGGATTTCTACAGCTCCGAGGTTAATGCCTGGCAGCCGCGCTCGCAGCCCCCACGTGAGCGGCCCCGCGGCTCTGGATCTGGAGCCTGGTCTGTCTCAAAGACAACAGGGCAGAACTGGAGCAACCCTGACGTTTCCTCCCCTCACCCCTCTTATTTTTTTCTGGGCAGCCGAAACCTGTTGTTTGCATCTTGCTTTTCTGCAGCACGCCCACGGAGCTGGCTCCTGGGGTATTTCTGTAACCAGCTGCTGACATTCCGTCTCGCGGCAGGATAAATCCAGACATCCCCAAATGAAGCTCACCTCCTGGATCAAGTGCCCACACGTCCTGATTACCAAATCGGGTTCTGCTCCCTGGAACCTGCTCCCCCGCATACACCCACACTGTAATACGCCCCCGCACAGCAGATACAGACGCTTGACTTCATTAGGCTGATGGCGCGGTCCGGTACTTCGCACTGCAGAGCTCCCCCTGCTTTGCTTTAGGAATGTGGGTTTTTAATTCCCACCATTGTCCATTCTTTACCCAGCAAGGTTGGGATCTGTCTGTCACTGGAAGTTTCCATCTTCGCCTATGGATGGGCTGGGGTGACGCTACCTGAGATGGGGGTTGGATTAGCTGGCCCCCGAGGTCCCTTACAGACCGGTTTTCCTATGATCCTGCGGGGGGGGGGGGGGGAAATTCAGCTATGCCCACATTTTTTGCAGGCAGTTATTGTCCCGAGGGAATGGAAGGTCCTGTTGCTATGACAACGAGGGTTTAAATACAAGAGAAAAGTGAAAAGAAAGATTTTCACCATAAACAGCCTCTCTTCAGGGAGATAGTGCAGGCTCTTAACAAAGGCTCCAGAAATACCCACTGGAGGGTTTCCATCTCCCCTCCCAGTCACAAATAGCCTGTCTTCCACAGCACACGCCCTGGTGGCAGCCTCGGGGCAGCAGGAGGCCACGAGGCTGAAATAAGAGCCCTTTGAAGGGGCTGTTGGTTCTTCTCCCTGGTGTGAACACCCCAAGGCAAGCTCCAGAGTGCCAGTGCCTGGCTGAGCTGCACTCCGAGGCCAGTTGTGGCACTGCGGGACGCATGCAGCTGCCTTCCCCACAGGCCTGGCTCAGCGCACGCTTCTGACAGCCCTGTGGGGAGCAGCACTGCCAGCCCGCAGGTCACCCTTGTGAGGTCACTGCTACCCAACAGTGCTCAGGCAAGGGGACAGATATGCCAGCGGGTTCACTGCACTCCCTTTGCTGCTTCCGCAGAGCCTGATTAGACCAGAAGCAAGAAGGAGCGATCTGCTTTCTTAGAGCAGCCAGGTCCCCCAGGCACAGAATATACCCTTCCCAGTCCCTGAAGGAAGCAGAGCAGGGGGCTGGGGAGTGGAGTCCATCAGGCTCCTGAGGGAGGAGCATAGTGTGGACTAGAGCAAGAAAACACAAAACAGGCCCTAGAATGGGGGCAGGCAACCCCCAGCACGGGTGCCACAGACTGGCAGGAGAAGGCATTTTGCTTGGCACCTGGGGTCACTGGCAGGGAGGGGATAGGGCTGTGCTGCCAAAAAAAAGAAAAAGAATCAGGCCCCTGGCAGCTTCCCTGCTGTCAGCCCTGGCAGGCCAACCTCTTACAACTTGAGGTTGCAGTTGTCTTTGGCACTCTGCCGAAAAACCTTGCTGACTCCTGCCTTAGAAAGTCATTGAGATGGCTGCTTTGCAGCAGCGGTAGGCAGGAGGGGGAAGGGTTTAGAGAACTCTGCTCCTCCAACTACAGATCCCCTTGGCTACTCCCCAGCCAGCATACATACATATGCTTTTGGTTCTGGGCAGGTTCCTGGGTCTCTCTCACAGGGCAGCTGGGTCACATGAGGTCTGTGGGTTTTCTTGGGCCTTGCGCTGGCACCAGCTGCCTTCCAGGGATGTTGCAGCATGCACGGGGGGAGGGGAGACGCTGGAAGAAGGAAGGTCTGATGGTTATTTCTGTAATACAAGGCATCTACCCTGCGGGCAGCCCACCCCTCCACAGAGATGTGACAGGCTTCCTGCCTGGGTCTGCTTGGAGGCTGATCTCCTGCACTAAAAGAAGATGTCATTAGTCAGCATAGCGCTACAGTAATCGATAGGAAACCATTCAGATTAAATGGTAGGAGGTTTTAAACGGCACTTGAACGGAATCGAGCAGAGCAGTGCATTCAAGCTGGGTCAGAGGAGTGAACACCTATTGACATTCCATTTAATGCCCAGGCCCTGGGGAGCCGGGCTGGCTTCAGCAGGCAGAGCAACCATGCTTCAGAAAGCTGCATGCTAGCCTGCAAGGGGAAGGGGCATTAAGCTCTGGGGCTGGGCTCCAGGGAGAGCAGCTGGACTCCACAGGACCTGCTGGAACACAGCCACTAGCTGGGAGGCCAAAGCCTCTGCTTCAGGCTGCCAGAAGCCAGAGGCTGCTCCCTACCCCTGGCCCATGGCCCCCTGCTACATGGCAGAAGGCTCTGGGAAGTCTAGTAAAGGGGCATCAGCAAGTCTCTGATTGCACTCAAGGAGATGTGGGAGTGAGTGCAGGGTGGGGGTGGTGACACTGAGGGCCCCTGTCATGCCTAGTAGGGTGGGGACCAAGAGAATTGCTCCCAGCTTATGCACTCGCTTCTCCTGCCCTTGAGGAACAGAAAGGCTCCCAGCTTTTAGCTGAAGAGGAAGCCCTCTTGCTCCAGTGTGAAGCTGCCACAGGTCTGCTGTCAGAATTGGGTGCAAGTGCAGGGCCAGAGGAGAAGCAGAGGAGCGGGGCAGGGAACTCATACAGCCAGTGAGGCTGTGGGTGAAGGGCTTCACAGGGAGTGAAGGGAAGCAGCTGGAGCGATCAAAAGAGACTAAAAGGAGCCTGCTCCCTTTGCCAGCCCTGCACTCAGCATTTCTCACAACTAAGGGATGACTACATAGAGAAGCATCCATCTCAGGACTGGTGGGCCCTCCGCAGGCTACTGGTTGTGATCCTTGGCATTTCAGGAGCCTCCCTGCCCCCCCAGCCCTGGAAACCATGCAGGCAAAATGCTCCAAGTCTGCATGCCCACACCAGCCACCCAACCCAAGCTGTCCCTCGGGAGCTGTCTCCAGAACTTAGTAAGAGCAGGAGGCTGTGGAGAGGAGAGCAGAGAATCAAGCTAGAATGAAAGGGCTCACCATGTACTGCCAAATGGAGGGTGCCCTGCACTGGGCATTGGGATTGGCAGGTTTGTCCCTAGTGTGACTGTGGATCATCCCAGGGGCTCTGTATCCCTGGCAGTAGGCCGGGGTGGGCTGCTCCTGTTTAAAGTGGAGGGCACCTCCTCATGGCAGGGCTGCCTGGCCAGATACAGTGATGCTGAGGATTCTGCAGCAATCTGGGGGCAGGTGCCAAAGGCAGCTCTGAGATTCCACAAAGGAAAAACATGACTCCTAGCAAGACCTTTCCAGTCTTCTCCTGGCTTGCAGGGCTTCAACCCCTGGCCTCTATCACTGACTGTGGTGTGGGGCTCCCTGAGTCAAGTAAGTCTGATGTTCTGTGGGTTTGCAGACACACCCAGAGGTCCTGGGCAGGGCTGTCCCAGGGCTTAGGAAATGCCCATGGCCAGAGCTGGTTTTCTGCAGTGTCAGTCCCCTGGGGTACAGGCTGTGAGGCGCAGAGCCCATGCACTTTGAGGATGGTTCCAGGCCCATGTGCAGTCCCACCCTGTGGGCACCCTGCGCAGCCTTGGTCCCTGCTGCTGCCAACCTCAGGGGATGGGTATGGGAGGGTCCTGCTCGTTGGGGTCAGTAGGTACGGGGGTCACCCACAACCCCTCCCCAAAGCTGCCAATGCCAGCCCAGCTCAGGACAATTCATCCCACAGCAAATTGAATCTAGGCATCGTGAGGTTCCTTCTGAGTGGCAGGGCACCACAGCTGCCAGGGGAGGGAAAGGCTGGATGGAGCCTGTACTGACAGGCAGGGGTATCAGGACCTCGGTGGAAGCAAGGAGTCCTGGCAGTGTTGGAGGAGGGGAGCATAGGCCCTTGGCAGTGAAAACTGCTCATGGACTGGCAAGTCATGGAGCAGGGCAAGGACTCTCAGCTCACAGGGTGTGCTTTCCCACCTGTGGGCTGTTTGCCCCTCACCACTGTTCTGTAGCACGTGCCTTCTTCCCTATGGTCTGCAGAAGCATCTGCATGTGCTGGGCTAAGCAACTCCAACCTTCAGGTCAAACAGGAGCAAACTTGTGCAGACAGACTCTGTGGTGACCAGGGTGATGGGACCCCTGTGCACAGGAGATCCCCCTTGGCGTTCCCAGGACTGAGGGAATACCAGAGAGCTCCCTCAGACTGGAGCCACCAGGCTGCATGGGTAATTTTTAGTTTCCATATTCCTTGTTATTGCTTTCCATGGGGTGAACACACTCACTGAATACCAGACAGTTCTGTTCTCTCTGCAGCTTCTGGATGCACACAGCAGGTACAAGGAAATAGTGGCACACAAACTCTCTCTCTCTCAAGAACAAATTATGACCAGTTCAGAAGAAACCATTTTATTATTTTTTCCCAAAGAAAAAAAGCAATATAAATATTAGAGTATAAAACTTGCATGTAACACATTGACATTGGTCTATATGGGTATAAGAAGGATATAAGCATATATATAATATATAAGTATAATTCAATATTAGACACATTGAAAGGACAAGTGTGTTTCATTTCACATACACTTAGAGCACAGACCACAAGGAAAGAAGATACAGAGAAATTGAAAATACTGATGCCCACAAGTTAGTTACTGAGATAAAAATAACACACCACTAATTACAACACTCTCTATACTACCTTGGATTGCTGATTAAAAAGAAATATAAACACTACAATTCATCTACAGTACTTCTAGAAGGGTCACATAATAACTACATTAGTCTGTATAAGCCTTACTATCTGTGTAAACTCTTTCTAGTGCAGCCACCACAGGGGGTGCCTGGGATCAGTACAAAAAATCGTATGTAGACAAGGTCTTCCCATAGATGCGGCTTGCTTCTCTAGACATAGGGAGACAGAAATTGGCTAGTGAGGCATTAGTTAGTGCACAATGCTCTGCTGAATACTGCCAGGGCTGGGTTACTGACAAGCCAGATAAGCATGCCAGCTGTCTACAGTTAACCTGAGGTGATCATAGAAGGCTAGATCTGCTCAGGTGAGCTCTGCATTAGAAGTTACAAAAAACTCATCGTGCTTATCTCTACATGTTTCTTCTTCATGCTACAGACACACCATGCCATTCTGCCTTCCTGGGTCAGTCACAGTTACTTTGATATGGAAAGCTGGCCCAGTGCAAAGGGCGCACACAACCTTTCAGGATTAAATAGGGTATAAGGGCATAATATAGCCTTCCTGGATGACTAAGTGTTTACAAGGACTTAATGCCAAGCTGGCTATGTAGCAAGGGCACAATGCACTCTCTCTTCACTTTGTTTGGATCAGCAGTGAAAAGGGAACACAGCTACAGGGGCACACAGTGAAGAGGCCCTGATAATTCTACTCCATTAAATGTGGTTAAAAATCCCAATGCCAGGGTATCAACAACAAAAGAAAGTTTGTTTGTTTCTTATTAAATCTAGCATATTTTGAGTCTCAGATGATCTCCTGGGTACAGTCAGAATCTGGGTTAGAGTGAATGAATGGTCCTGTAACAGCCCAAAAAGTATCAGAATCCTTCCTCATAGTCTCCTGACTGACAGCTTGTGAGCATCCCCAGGCTCACTGGCTTTGTAATCAGTGGCAAAGGCTAAGCTCCAGTTCTTGGATCCTTTATCTATGAGTCTGGTCCCCTGGCTCCAGCAAACCAACTGTCACTTACTTGGTATCCAGTTCTGAAGGCCAATGAACTAAGCCTGTTCTTTGGCAACTCTGCACAGACATGAAATGTGTGGATTTCATCACTGCTGTAGGAGAAAGCAGTGACTCTTTTATTATTCAACCCTACTCCTAGATAGACATTGCTCAGTCTGCACTGAGACTTGTTTATCTGACTGTGCATTTATATCATGCTGTATACACATGCAATGGCTTCTTTGGGTGTGGTGGAGTTAGTTACCTTACTGTAGACATGAGGTGAGTATTTTGCATGCAATGCAATGTACAGAAATGTGAAGCATTCTGTCTCTGTTCCCTATGAGTAGATCAGAGATTGCTCTCCAAATGCATCCATCTTTAATAAAGACATAGATAGCTATTTCATTGCTTTGAGCCATAGCTCTCTGTGCTTACAGCAGGGGACTTTCTTAACTTTTAATTCCAAGAAAACATTTCCTGTACATATAAATATTTACTGCAATGAATTGTTGAGATGTATTTGTAGAGGCCTGTATAATCAATAGGACAGTATGTAGTGTGTACATCTCATAATTCGAATGGTGTGTTCTGCACTGTGGCCATTTCCACTTCAGTTCAATTGCATTTCCTGTCTCTCACATACCATGATTTTTGTTCCATATTTTAGGCCATCATTGGTCACATTTTTTTAAAAAATGAATGTTTAAAATGCACTTTAAGCTTGTTACTTTAAACTAGTGCAGTGTAAACACTTATTTTTTGAGAATAACAGGTAAACAGGAATTTAAGCACTCCCTACCAACTTCTTAACTAGGAACTTCAAGGGTAATCAAGGTGAAGTTTACTAAAAGAAAGTTAAATATCAAAATATGGAGCATGAGCTCTAATCTGGGAATGTTTTTTCCTCAGAAAAATGATCAGTGGTTTGTAAATAAAAAAAACTCCATGTTAAACTTATTTACACTGGACAATGCCAAGTACAAGCCTTGTAGCTTTCTCAAACCATTCTGAAGTGAGCCAAATCCAAAGACATCTTTTAAAGACTTTACAGCCTTGCATATTAAATTACCCGAGTGATAGTACAAAATATGAGTTTGTATTAACAGGGCACTTGCTTTTTTGTTTCCAGATTGATTTATATCATGAGGGCTAACAGTAGGATCTCTACTCCTAGCTCTGACAATGACATGCATTCATAATAGTCCCTACTTTTCCAATGCAAAATTCACATTCACCCTCCATCCTAGGTTGTGATTTGGGGGAGTGCTGGAGGGGTCTGCTCTGTAGGTCTAACCTGCTGATCGTCTCCTGTCAATTTTACTTTTTTTCCTTCTTCCCTGACTTCTTCTTGTTTCCTCCTGAAGATCCCGAGCTCTTTGCATCTCGTTTACCTGAGGAGTTGGAGAGAGTAGCAGTGCTGCCAGGGATGTACACATTCTGTCTGTAGTCTGGGACATGCTGCAGTGTGAACTGGGGGCCATACCTTGCACTGAGGCCCATAGTGCCAGTTCCCCCACCAAGAGTGGAGTTCCCATCGGCAGCTTCTACATGGGACACAGAAGAGAAGAAGACAACAGGAAAATAATTATAACATTAATATCGTCAACAGTGGAATTTTAACTAAGTAAGTATTCTTGAGGACCCAATACAAATCTAAGGTCTTATACAACAGGTGCTGTGCAAATAGTGTTTGTCCCAAAGAGTTTGCAGTCTATGTAGATAAGAAAGACAGTGTCACCAAGGGTATTAGAGCCAGAGTAAGGCATTTAACCCAGAGCTCCTGAGTGCCAGTCCTATCAAAGGTTTAATCACAAGATTATCTATAAATTATGGAAAATTGAAATATGTTATAAGACAATGAAGGGGAGTTTAATACACAAAGGGCACATCTACACAAGATTCTTTACTGTGGTAATCGAATGCACAGTAAAGCATCAGCATCTACACATGCACAGGATTTACTGCACAGTAAATTAGGTGAATGTACCACTTGCTAGTACCAACAAATACAGGTACTAGATTAACGGCACATTAGCTACTGCTCATTAGCGCACATGTAGTCAGACTGAGAGCAATTTGCTCCCAATCAGTCTAGGCAGCAGGGGGACACAGAAAAGGCAGGGGGGAAGGGAGTGAGGAGGGGGAGCTGTTCCTGCTCCATTGTGGAGTTTGGGATTGCAGCCTGGCCTGGCGACACTGCCTTGGGGCAATGCTCCATAGCCAAGTGGTAGCAGCATCCTGAGTTCTCCCTTCGCTTTTCTTGCTGAGGGGATGGAGGAGCTTTCTGTTCCTGCAGTGTTGGGCTGGGGACACAGAGCATCCCCATTCCCTTAGCCCTACCCCTGCCTGCACAAGCACACACTCCAGTCAGTTCCTGCTCTCTGCCCATGCCTGGGGGGAGCTGGGAGCTGAGCAGCACTAGGATGGGGTGGAGGAGTTGCAAGGGGTGGGGGGGAGAAGGAGGGCAGGAGGGTAAGCAGCACTGGAATTGGGGAGAGATGCATCTCCCCCTGGTCCCAGCACTGCTTATCTCTCATGTCTCACCCCACCTCAGTCCCGGTGCTGCTCAGCTTCCACCTGCCCCAAGGCATGGGTTTGGGAGCAGGAGCCAACTGGAGCATGTGCTGTGCAGGCAGTGGCAGGGCTGAGGTGATGAGGAAGCTCTCTGTCCCTAACCCAGTACTGAAGAGATAGAGAGCTCCTCTTCCTGTCCCCTCAGCAAGCAAAGTGAGGGGAGAGCTCAGGGCACTGCTGCTGCTCAGCCATGGGGCATTGCCCCAAGCCAGTGCCATCAAACCAAGCTGTCCCCTTCTCCAGGACAGCTCCCCCCAACTTCCAAGAGCTCAGGCCTGACCCCTGTACCCGCTGCCAGCCAGAGGCTGGCATCAAGGGAGCCTGGAGGTTCCCCTAGCTGCTGCAGGGGGGGAAGAGTAGGGCAGGGGCACAGGAGCAGCTCTGGACTCAACTGCACCCATTGGGCACATCCACACATGCAAGCAGATGCACTTGCAGCAGCTAAAATAGAAGGACTGCAAATCTGAGCAGGGGCTTTTTGCCCAGACATGCACTTTGGTATGGGACAAATTGTGCCACTTGGGGCAAAATAACCCTGCCTGGCTCCTCTGAGATCTGCAACCAGGGGGAGCTATATGCTGTCCCCAGCAGTATATAAAGCTGTCCTGTCCTGGCCCCATCAGTACAAAAACCTGCCCTGTCAAGTAGGTCAGGGCTACTCGCTCTCAGGAGCTTCTGAGGCCCAGCCAATTGGTACCTGGGGACACTACCCCTTGTGCCAGCTGGATTGCTGAAGCAGCCCTGAGAGGTCCCTGCACCTTTTATCCACTGCAGCAGTCTGGCAGTGGGGACTGCTGCCTGGCCGTGACCTGCTGTGCGCCTGCCAGACCAGATGGGGACTGCACAGCCAGTAGAAGCATCTGCCCCTCTGGGCCAACTGCCAGTGGGCTGTGACTGCAAAAGTGGCCTTTGTGTGGCACTACTGCCATGTGTGCCCCCTGTCTGGCCATCTAGGTAGCTATTGCCCAGAAGATGGTCCCAGCGTGGTGGCCTGCTTTGAACTGTCAAAGCATGTCAGCCACCTCCAGCTGGGTCCAAGGTTCCAGCTCTGAGCAGGCTCCTCTGCCTGGGTCCTGCAACTTGCCTCCCTAGCAAGAATTCTGGTGTTCCCTATTTGGAAACCGAAAAATCCCTGATAAAAATATCCCAAAGTCACTCTGTAAAATACCCTGAAACACATGTTCCTCCAGAATTAAAACAAAAGAGAGTGAGAGTGAGAGACAGCAATCAGTTGGGCAATGTTTTATTGATATATCTACAGTGTTAAAGCAATTTGGAAGCCTACTAGTGTCTCTATCATCATAATAAAATTAATTCTAAATACCTATATATTTTGCTGTTTGTCTTAGGTTTTCTTACCATAGAGCAGTTAGAGCTCCCTGTGACCCTTTCACTAACCAGGATGTGGGGGCAGCTGCCCATGTAGCCACAGCTCCTGGCAGCAGGTCTTATCCTGTCTGGCAGCTGGACATGCAGGGTGTGTGCTGAGGGCATGTGGGGTTTGCAGGAGGAGGGTGGGAAGGGGAGTGGGGGGGATGTTGGTGGTTGTGAGGAGCTGTGGGGTGTGTGGGTAGGCATGGGTAGATTGTGGGGCGACTGTGTGGAGGGGCTGCTCAGGAGGGGTGGGTCCCCTGCCCCCTGCAGGGCACAGCCCCTCCTGCACAGCTGACAGACTGCTCCTCATAGGGCTACAGCCCCCTCACAGGGGCCACAGCCCCCCACAGGGGCTACAGTGCCTGAACAGGGGTTACAGCCCCCCCAAGAGAGGCCACATGGCCCCCGCAGTGGCTACCACCCCCCTTTGCTGCCCTGCCTGGCCCCCATCACCCACTGGCTCGTGAAGCCTCCCCCCGATGGCTGCCCCATCCAGCCCCACCCCCTGCTTGTACCCACAGCCGCCCAATGGCTTCCCCACCCTCCGCCCACTCCCTTAGACACCCCAATGGCTGCCCTGCCCAGCCCCATCTCCTGCTTGCACCCCCAGCCCCCGATGGCTGCCCCCACCAGCCCCAGCCTCCCGGCACTTTAAAAAAAAAAAAAAGCCTCGTCCTCATCAGCAATAGCAGGGGCTGTGGGGCCACATGGCAGAGCCCTCCCATGCATCATGGGGCAGCAGGGCAGCAGCAGGGCCAGGTCCCGGCCGCCTGGCACCTGCACTGCCACTGCCCCATCGCTGGAGTCAGCAAGGTGCCATGCT